TTTCATAGATCACACTTTTGGTGCTGTTATCTAAAAATTCGCTGTCAAAGCCAAGGTCACCTAGGTTTTCTCCTAGCTATCTTTTAGAAGTTATATTGTTTTACACTTTACGTTTAGGTCTGTGATCCGTTTTGAATTAACTTTGTGAAAGGTGGTATAAGATCTGTGTCTAGATGCATTTTTTTTGCATGTGGATGTCTAGGTGTTCCAGTATCATTTGTTGAAATGACTATCCTTTCCATGGAATTGCTTTTGCTCCTTTGTCAAAAATCAGTTGACTATATGTATGTTGGTATAATTCTGGGCTATTTTATTCCATTGATCTATTGGTCTAGTCTTTTACCAATATCATACTGTCTTAATTATTGTAGCTTTATAGTAAGTCTTGAAGTCAGATAATGTGAGTCCTCTAACTCTGTTCTTCTTTTTCAGCATTGTGTTGGCTATCCTGGGTGTGAAATAATAAGAAAGATATAGTTACATGCCACAAAATGATATTCTGGTCAGCAATGGACTGCATAAACCACAGTGGTGCTATAAGATTATAATACCATATTTTTACCGTACCTTTTCTGTGCTTAGATATGTTGAGATACACAAATACTTACCATTGTGTTACAATTGCCTACAGTATTCAGTACAGTAACATGCTATACAGGTTTGTAGCCTCTGAACAATAGGCTATACCATATAACCTAAGTCTGTAGTAGGCTACACCATACAGGTTTGTGTAACACTCTACGAAGTTCAAACAGTAACAAAATCGCCTAATGACACATTTCTCAGAATGTATCCTCATCAATATATGATACACAACTGTACATAAATTCTGCCCCTGGTTCCTGACACAGAGCTCCTAAAACTTTTATAAATAAAGGTGCTAGGAGACTCCTTTGTCCCAATATTTGGTCTCTGATCCCAGTCCTGTCCTGACATAGAGCTTTCTGAGACCTTTGCAATTTCCTGAGTGATAGGAGCATCTGACAAAGAACTCTTAAATACCTTGGAATTGCCTGGGTGACAGGAACACCTTTTCTTCTAATGAGGCAACTTTTGGTGCAATCCTGGATGGGGACTGGTTATCAGAAAGACCAAACCACTAAGGCTTGGAACTTTCAGCCCCACCTCCATCCTCTGGGAGGGGAGGGGAGCTGGAGATTGAGTTAGTAATTGATCATGCCTACATGTCGAAGCCTCCATAAAAAGCCTTAAAAGACAGGGTTCAGAGAGCTTCTGGGTTAGTGAACATATCCAGGTGCCAGGAGGGTGGCAAACCCAACTGTATGAGAACAGTAGCTTCTGTGCTTGGGACCGTTCCAGACCTTCCTCTACGTACCTCTTCATGGCTGTTCACCTTTACGCTTTGTAATATATTAATACTTCATCATAAAGCAGTAAATGTGTTTCCCTGAGTTCTGAGAACCATTCTAGTAAATGACTGAACCCAAGGAGGGGGTTGTGGGAGCCTCCAAATTACAGCCACTTAGTCAGAAGCACAGGTGACAATCAGGGTGCTCCTCAGTCTTGCGGGACTGAGCCCTTAACCTGTGAGGTCTGTGCTAACTCCAGGTAGACAGTGTTAGAACTGACTTGTAGGACACTCAGCTGGTGTTGGGGAATTGGTTGGTGTGGGAAAACTCCTCACATGTCTGGTATCAAAAATGAAGTTCTGGAAGTATTGAGAACTGTCAGTCAGAGTACAGAAGTTTGTTTTTCCCTATACACTGGGTGTTTTGCTTTTCCATATAAACTTTAGAATAATTTTGTCAATATCCACAAAATAACTTGCTGGAATTCCAGTTGGGATTATGTTGAATCTACAGACCAAGTTGGATAGAACTGACACCTAAACAATATTGAGTCTTCTACCTATGAACATGGAATATTTCTCCATTTATTTAGATCTTCTTTCCTTTATCAGAGTTTTATAATTTCCCTCATACAGCTCTTATTAGATATTTTGTAATATTTATATATATTTTGTTAGATTTATTCTAAACTATCCTTTTCTGGTGCCAATATAAATGGTATTGTGTTTTTAATTTCAAATTTTAATTATTCCTTATAAGCATATAGGAAAGCAATTGACTTTTGTATATTAACCTCATATATTCTGCAACTTTGCCGTAATTACTTGTAATTCCAGGAGTTTTGTCAATTCTTGGGATATTCCACATAGACAATCATGTCATCTGTGAACAAAGACAGTTTTATCTCTTCCTTCTCAAACCATATATCTTTTATTTCCTTTTCTTGTCTTATTGCATTAACTAGAACTTTCAGTAAGATGCTGAATAGGAGTAAGAGGGGGCATCCTAGCTTGTTCCTGATCTTAGGGGGACAGCATCTAGTTTCTCCTCATTAAGGATGATGTTAGCTGTAGGGTTTTTCCTCTTTATCAAATTGAGGTAGTTCCCCTCTATTCCTAGTTTGCCATAAGTTTTTTTCTTTTTTAATCATGAATGGGGGTTGAATTTTGTCAAATACTTTTTCTGCATCTACTGGTATGATCATGTGATTTTTCTTTTTCTTCCTTAGTTGATGTGATAAATTGATTTTTTTTTTTTTTTTTGAGATAGGGTTTTGCTGTTGCCCAGGATAGAGTGCAGTGACGTGGTCACAGCTCACTGCAACCTCACACTCCTGAGCTCAAGCGATCTTCCTGCCTCATGCTCCCAAGTAGCTGGGACTACAGGTGCACGCCGCTGCGCTGGCGAATTTTCTATTTTTTGTAGAGACGGGGTCTCACTCTTGCTCAGGCTGGTCTTGAACTCCTGACCTTAAGTGATTCTCCTGCCTCAGCCTCCCAGAGTGCTAGGATTACAGGCGTGAGCTACCATGCCTGGCCCCATTAATTGATTCTAATGTCGAACTAGCATTGCATACTTGTGATAAATTCCACTTGGTTGTGGTGTTTAATTCTTTTTATACATTGCTTGATATGATTTGCTAATGTTTTTTGAGGATTTTACATCTATGTTCATGAGAGATAATGGTCTGTAAAGTTCTTTTTAAAATGTAAAGAGGCTGAGAAATCTCAGCGCTATCAGTCAGTTACATATAAGTGGTAATTAGTTAATCAGATTATTGTTCTTCTGAAACCTAAAATTATATCAACTTCAATATGACAAAGACATTACTAATCAGAGGAAGAACATGGAACAATTAGGAAACAAGATAGGGTTTAGCCACTTGTAGCATCTCAAAAGCATGAAAAACTGTAGTTTATACTACTTTCCTTAGTTTTTGTTTTGAATCAGAGGAAAGAGAAGGAAAGAATCAGCCTAAGAGGAGGAGGGATAGGATATCTGAGTGCCTGATAGAAATTATTGTTCCCTTTAACAGGTTTTGTGACATATAATAGCTTGTCTGAATTTTAACTTAAAGGTGGTCTAATCCCAGGTTCCACAACTTATGTACTGTCTTATAAGTCAGGGATGGCAAGGCTCTATGATGTTAAAGATTGTCTCTACCTAGGCCTGCTGCACCAACAAAAATCAACTATTCATACACAGATACTGCTGTGCTTTCTACTACATCAAGTACAAAAAAAAAAGAGAAAAAAAAAGAATATCTTGTTTATCAGCTGTTTGCAGTCAGGAGTCTCCAAATTGCCTTTGTTTCTTCTCTTTGTCAGGTTGTCTAAATTGCTTAAAATTGAACTCTTTCTGCTGGAATAAATCTGACCTTGCTGGGAGACGGAGGATAGGAAGGCAGAGGGATGATAGCCACTGTCTTGTGTCTGAAAGGGGAGAGGAGCTTTACCTGTAGGCAGACAGTATTTGGAAGAGGAATTGGGAAGTCATGAGAAGCCCCATCCATCTCCTCTAGGGACAGCTCTGCTGCTGGAACTTGTGATGTTGCGTGCTGTTGGCATTATGTGGCTGAATACATGCAGAGGGTATGCAGAAAGATACCCTCTGAGTGTTCCCCAAACTAACAGCAATTTTAAAACAGAATATCAAGTGCATTGACTGGGTTTTTACAAATGATATTCTGAGCTTAATGCTGACAAAAAAACTAGGACTGATTCTTGATGTAAAAGTGTCAAGAATTCTTCAGAGAGAGTGAGTAGAAACAAGGGAAAGGAAAGCTGTGCAGTCTCAAATGTGTAAAACTTCAAGAAAGGAAATTTTGAAACATTTACAAAAGGCATAAGAGAAAAAACTAGTGTCTGTTTATATTATCTATATCTATATTTTTTTAAGACAGGGTCTCACTCTGTCACCCAGGTTGGAGTGCAGTGACATGGTCATATCTCACTGCGGCCTTGCACTCCTAGTCTGAAGCTATTCTCCTATCTCAGACTCCCAAAGTGCTGGGATTACAACTGTGAGCCACCATGTCAAGCCAAAATTGGTATATTATGATAGCTATAGTTTCTAGAAGAAATTACACTGGAAAATGAAATAGTTGGCAATATCTGGAGAAATTAGCAATTTCCCAGGTAGCTCAAGTTTTAAAAGGCCACAAAAGAAAAGAAAAGAAAAGAAAAAGGGCAGATAACTGAGTAGGAATAGGCAGAAGTGGGACAAAACACTGCCCACGTGTGCCCTCTTCACTCTTCCATTGTTTCCATCTGCTCACATCCTTTCTAGGCCAGCTCAACCCTCCTCCACAAAACCTTCTTCTCCAATCCTAACTCACACTGACCTCTCCTCTTCCCGATTCTGTGTAATTGGCAATTATTCATGGACTTCTTTGCCTCCCCAGTTCAACGTTAAGTTGTGAGACTACAGGGCCCATATTTGGTGTCCCCAGAATGCCTATAAACACTGCTTCCTAAAGAGTGGATGATAAATAAACATGGGCTTATGGATTCAAAGAAGCTAACCAGAAATCAGTGGTTTTAGAAGAATGGAGACTAGGGTAGCTGTAAAAAACACCAATTTTGAGCATGCATTATAAGTAGTACTAAAACCCAATCCAATCCAAATCAATTATGTAACCAGTAGAGTGAACAGGCACAGTCACCTGAAGTTACAAAAATAGCACAGTACCTGCAGGAGACTTTCTATGGCATGAAAACCTCGAATTAAATTCAGAGCTCCACATAAAAGACTAAGGATAAATGCCACAATTCCTGACAGAGTTGCTGGTTCCAGTCGCTGGTGAGCTGGAAAATAAAAGAAATAGTTAGAAATGAGCACCAACATCTTACATAGCTGAACTTATGTAAAACAAAAATTCACTTCTCAATTATCTTCATAAAATTAAACAATATATCCTCATAATTAAATAACTTTTAAAATGTAAAATATTTGATAACATAAAAGCTTCATTCTCCTGAACTCAAACTAAATTAACTTCTTTTTCTCTACATTTTTAACAAAGACACACAACTTGCATTTGGGATAGACAGTGCTAAGGAGTGCTCACAACTGGCAGTAAATCATTTAGAAAAAACCTTACTGCCTAAATATGTCTACTATGTGCAAGTAGGTGCAAATATTTGCAAAGGTGACTTTGCTTGGAAATTCATTGCATACATAATTCCTACTTTTTCTGAAAATGCTTAGAAAACATTTTTAAGGACAAACACAGCTTTCTTTTAAGCAAAACTCTCCCTTATTTGGGTTCCAGGGCTATAAATACTACTGGATATATGTGAAAGCTCATATATAATCAACAGTCTGAACTCCGCAACAGAATGGAGTGTTATAGCTATGAAATTCCTGGTCCTCTGAATAACACTTGATGATAAAAGTTATAAAACACCAGCTGAAGACGTGACTATTTTATCTTTACAAATACATTCCCAGATCTTTCAGGGCTTCAGCAGCATAAGACATTCAGTTATACAAAAGCTTCCCTTCATCATCTTGCGCTTAATAGAATTACAATGGAGTCTAAATGAAAACACAAAACTAAATACATAATCATCTAGACCTCAAAAGGGAGACAGAGGGAAAGAGGACAACAGAGTCACATTTAGATTATTTTATTAAAAGCACTGAAGTGTAAAAGCCCCAACAATGAAGTTAATGAGGTGGAACATTAATATAAGAAAGGGCTTAAATCTGTGCAACTTATATTCAGCCATTATAGCAGAAAACCTTCTCTGAACAGTTTATAAAAAAACAAAACCCAAATATCACAAAAAGTATTTGTTCTGCAAGTTCAGCAAAAAATGCTAATATGGGATAATATTTTCTTAAATTTCTTTGGTGCCCAAGTCTGCCTGGTCTCTCAATCAATTTCCTTAAGATTTTAATATGAAAATAGAAAATTAAATGTCTTTATTGGTATTGCTACCAAGTTTTATATCAGTAGAGAAAAAAATTTCACAATTTTAAAATCTATCCAGTTGGTCTATTGATTGATTAGTCATGTTTTATAGCCTCCTTGCTCTCTCCTCAGCAGTAAGGGAGAACTGGCCTCTAAAAAAAGAAATCCTTAATATGGGCCTCAAGAATAAAACCACCTGGCAACTGATTATACAAATCACATTGCTAAAGTATACAAAACAGGCTTACCTTACCAAAAAACCCCAAATAATATTCTGCATTATAACTAAAAAGCCTTATCTTTTTACAGCCAAGTAAGGTGTAGCCATTCTTCAATGGAAAAATATTACCATTTTAATATGTTGATGAACATCTATTTAAGAAATGAATAATAAACTTATATAAATTAAATATCTGTTAAGTTTCTAACATTTGCCTCTTGGCCTTAGAGCACTCTCCTTATAATGATAGTATACCACTTATAAATTAATTATTCCAAAATTATCAAAATATAATAAAGCCATAAAAGCAAATGATAAGCCTCCTTTAACAAGAACAAGGTATGCACTGAGCTGAAGGACAGGCTGGCCCTGTGCCAAATCACTGTGGGAAAGAAATTCTAAAGTAGAGATGCTCCATTTCTACCTCCTTCCCAGGACCTACGGCTTGCACTTTGAGAATGGTTATCAAGAGAAAACTCCATCTGCACACAACACAAAAGGGTGATGCTCCTTAAGGATAATTTCACTTTAACAAACTGAAATAGATATTTAACCACATTTTAATGTATTATGTTATATATATACTATTTTTTACTTCAGTAAAACAGATTTTAGACCCACTGTTATCCAAAAATGCTTACTGCACGCTTCAATTTGGCAACATGCTAGGTACTAGGTGTGCAGTATGTTTGGAACAATAACAAAATGAGAATGGGGGCATTACTAGCAGCTTTGTTTGGCTCAAAGAGATGTTTGTGCAGTGTAGGGGGAAATAAGGTCAGAAAGGGAGGCTGAAGCAAATTAACAGACAGTCTAAAATTCTAGGCTAGGAATTATGGGAAATGAGACAATGAGGAACCACTGCAGAGCAGGAGACTGATAGGATTAAGTCTATGCTTAAAGGATATTAATCTATTAATGGATTGCAAAGAGATCAAAAGTAGGGAGAGAGAAATAATATTTTCTGAGTGCCTTCTCACTAGACACACACTGTCCCATTTATCCTTCAAAATGAGGTACTTCATGAAGTAGGATTGACTAACTTCTCGGTGTGTGAACTTTCTCATCTGTAAATTGAGGTTAAATAATTTGCTAAGTCAAACAGCTAGTAAGGGCCATCTTCACAATTAGCACTTGGGTCTGCCTAACTGCAAAACCCATGCTCTTTCTATAATTCTACAATAGGGAGTTCATGAGAGAGTCACTGCAAAAATGGACTGAAATCAGGGAATTAGGACAGTCACAGAAGAAAGAGGTGAGAGATACTATGGAGGTTAAAACTATTAGATTTGGCAACTAATTAGATGTGGGAAACATAAGAGAAAAAAATCAAAAAAAAAGTTTCAGTTTTACATCTGGGTGATTAGAAAGATGAGGCTAGCAACAGACCTACAGGAAGAAACTCAGGTCTGATCAAGAATGTGGATATTTTAAATATATCAAATTTGAGGTGACGGTGAGGCATGTTTTAACAAGCAACTGAAGAAAAGAATAGCAGTAGAGCTGGAGAAACAGGTCTGCATCTGAAGGGAAGGGTTTAAATGAGATTACAAAGGAAAGAAGCAGGCCAAGGACAAACCCTTAATAAACACTACCATTAAGGGAAGGAAGACGAGTCAGGGAAGACAGACATTGGAGAACAAAGAGTAAAGAGCCACAGAAACCTAGAAAGGGGAGACCATCAAGAAGAAAGACATGGCTAACAGTACCTACACACAGGCCAAAGAAAATATAAACTTAAAAACAAAACAAAAAAAATAGAGTATCAGATTTATTGACCAGGAGATAACTGATAATTCTTTTCTAAGATATTTTCAGAAAAGTGGCTTATGGCAAATTTCAAACTACAAGAGGTTGAATAACTGGTGATGGTAAGAAGTAGAAGCATAAATGACTACTACTATAGTTAAAGGAGAGAAAAACAGGATGAAAGCTTAACAGCAGAGATAAATGGATTGAGAAAATAATTCTTTTTCCCTCACAAAGTGAGAGGGAGCAAGACTTGAATACATTTATACTGGTGGAATGAAATAATTCAGTGAGGATAAAATAGAAGAGTCAAGAAAAAGGAAAAATAACTGATGAATTAGTGTCCCAGAACAGTCATTATGAGCATTCTAAAAGATGGTACTATTCCAAACCTCAAGCTTCATAACACCACAGTGCTTGTCCCCCAGCCAAAGGCAAAGTTCAGAAGGTACAGTCATTGAACGATGCCCAAAATGTCTGGAGGAACAGGCTGCAGGACATAGAGAAATATCAGGTCAGTTCCATCTAAATGAGCATAATTTATTACTAAAGTATGACTGAATGAGTCTAACACTCTGGCACAAAAACACACTATTCTTTTCACCAGTGATGCCTTTATCATCACCACCTGTAGAAAGCATGCATGTCCTTCAGGGCCCCAAGACCACAAAGTTGTACTTCCTTCTTACCTCTTTTGGAGCATGTATCACATTCTACCTTGTATTTTACTTATTGGATTTTATTTCCTTTTCCCATCTTGAGAGCAGTTAATGTGTTTACAATCTTTATAAAATGCCCCACAATATTTAGCATAATACCTTAGAGGAAAAAAAGCAACACCTGTTGGACTGTGAGGTATGCATGCGCACGCTTGTGTGTGTGAGAAAGAGAGAGATTGGTAAATCTATTTGGCTTATAGACACCACTCAAACAAAGTAGTGTTTTTAGGCAACTGATAGATTGTCTAGAAAATGACAAAATAGGAGGAAAAAAAATACAAGTGTCAGAGAAACTGAGAGAATTGTGTTAAATTTAGGGTTTTGTGAATTTTTTTAACAAAATAAAAGCAGGACATAAAATTAAAAAGACTAACAGCATTAAATGTTGATGAGGATGTGTAGTAATCAAAATGCTCATATATTGCTAGTGGGAAGGTAAAACAGTACAACTACTTCAGAAAACTGGCAGTTTTTAAAGAGTTAAACATGCAACCTTTGACCTAGCAATTCACCTCCTAATATTTACTCGAGGGAAATGAAAGCATATGTCGACAAAGATAAACATTCACAGTAGTTTTATTTACAATAACAAAACTTGAAAAAAAGCTTATGTCCATCAGCAAGGGAATGAATAAACAAATTGTGGTATGTTTATACCATGGAATATTGCTCAGCAATAAAAAGGAACAAACCGCCGAGACATGCAACAAGCATGTATGACATGCTAAGCAAAAGAAGCTGAACATAAGAATCACATAATATAGTCTTCTTTATATAAAGTTTTAGAACACAAAAAACTAAACTGAAAAAAATCAAAACCATAGTTGTCTCGAGGGAGGTAGAGATTGATTTGGAAGGGACACAACGGAACATTTTGGGAGGAGATGGAAATGTTCTATACTGTATAGGGGTGTGTATTAATCATCTCTTTTTATTCTGTATTTTTGATGCTTTGACATCTTGAGGACTTGCTGACCCTGGAGGAACTGCCTCTCTCAGGGTTAACTAATTCCTAGAGATAGCAAACAACTTGTCTGAACACACCTTTCACATGTATTCCAACCAATCCAGACCTCACACTCCTAACCACCTCCTCTATTGGGCTCTCACACTCAGTGCCATTATTTTCTTGCCCTGATTACCCCAGGGCCAGGCATCAGACAACTAGAGACAGTCTCTGTGCCCCAGAGCCCACTGAAAATTATTCAAACAAGCCAATCCTAAAACTTCCTAATCCTGCCACGCCCATTCCTT